CCATATGAGAGCTCTATAAATTTGGCTATGTTAAGTCCCACTTAATCTTAAAATACCTAGTATCAACCATATGGACAATTGCACTTGATACTAGCATGCACTGTTGAGTTCATAGTGTTTAACTTGTCAAACAAGCACCAAAATCTTATCAGAGCTCTTGTTTGAAATACATTCATATATGCAATGAGCATGAGTCAGTCACTACGAATTGACTCAAATCCAATCCGATTGACTTCAAACAACTTAATGCTTGTTGACTTCAGTTCGTTTTCATGTTAGCCAAAAAGGTCTATCACTATTGTTGCATGTGGTTGCTTTCATCGTGATGGATTTCAATTGTATTAAGTTTTAATTTAATCCAAACATTTATATTCTTTAATTCATTCAAGGCATAGAGAAAAAATCTTCATTGAGCTAGTGTCTCACTGAATCTTAATTGCATGAGCTACGCAATCTTATTCAGTTTATTTTAGTCTTTTACAATGCTAATAGCGGCACGCTCGCATACAAGATAATCTTCTAGCTTGTAACCGAGGCTAGACTGATTCTGGATAAACAAGAATAAGAACACAATGAAATTTTATATCCATACATTATGTCCTCCGAGTTGAAAGCGTGTTGATGGGGGAAGTTTTGACATCATTTTCAGTCCAACTCTGTTCACAGTTTGGTCTTCATTTAACGATTTCACCGTTGGTCAAAAGTCAAAACAGTTTCAAAATGCAAATCAAAATGTTTGTATGATTTTGATGAAAGCTTCTTTTTTAATTGGATAGGATGTAAAACAATGAGAATAAGAATAAAAAACAAGTCCCATTCAATCTGATCTCCCGCCTGTGGGTCCCGCCAAACCCCCTTCCACGGACGCCACGTGGCGCGAATATCCGCTTCGACGAGTCTATTTTCCCAAGCAACAATAAAAATAAAACTAAAAGAAAAAAAAAGGGGACAAATTAATTTAAAAGCTTTGGGGGCCGAGGAGTTCCACCATTAAAAGCAGAGAGCTTCGTCACCTTACTTTGCTCAGCTTTTATCTCTGATCAGGCTCTCTGAGCTTTTCTTCTTCTTCTCTGTAAAGGGCTCTGAGACTTTTCCCAAAAGCTCGATCGAATTCAGGTGAGATCAACTACAAAACCAGCTTGTTGCAAGAGATTCCCTTTTGGTTTATTTATGTTTAGTATTTTGATTTCGAATTTGGGATTGTAATTGTGTTGCATGTGTGTGATTGCCTATATGTATCTCTGTGGCTCTGTGTTTTTCTGTGATTGAGGTGACTTGTCTAGGGTTTTGGCTTGTCACTTGAGGTGATGATCATGGAAAATTTGTTTTTTGATTGTGGTCGATTAGTTTGTGTAAATTGATCAAACTTTATCTGACCTGAAAAATTGATCAAACCCTAACATAATGCTCTGTTTGGCTGAACAGAAAATCACTCTGAGTTTCTCTCTGGCTCCAAGTAGCGGGAAATTTCGAGAATTTAAAAACCCAAATACCATATGATATATTCTCTCTTCTTTTGGTCACTAAATAGATATTTTCGTTTCTGTGATTGGAATCCAGTATTTATGTTTATCCTGTATAAACTATTCTATACATGCATGTGGTTGCTGTGTGTTTTTCCACAACACTCATGTGAAAGGATAAAGCAATCAAATCCCAGTATTTAATGGTCTTTCTTTGGTATCGCACGCAGTTATTCATGTGTTGAGGCGTGTAAGGGAAGAATTCAATTAGTGCAGTGGGGAAGTTTCTTTTTTATCCTTTGATTGCGGTGATTTTTGGGAAGGCAGTAGAAATAGATAGTAGTAAATTACGCCGCCCTGTATCTTGTGTTTGAATATCAATTCATCTAGATTATGACATGTTGATTTGGGTGGTGAGGAATGTAGTGCATGCTTTGATTAATATACCTTTTGGAGGCAAACATTTTATTCCTGATCTGATTCGACATGAATGCTTTGATCCACTCAGTGAAGTACTAGTTAGGGATTGGGTTTACAGACAATTTAATGCCTAAATTTTATAATCACTTGACACAGAGAATGTTTGGTTTTAAATGTCAAAGGCGATGTTGCTTGGTGCACTGTACTTCTCTGAAATTATTTGTTATTAAAGTTATTTGTTAAATACTTCTCTGAAATTTCTTTATGTGCACTGTACAGGCTGTGTAAATTTGCACACGCTGTCCCTTTGAACATATTATACACTATTTGATGGCTTGGTCCTTTTTTTTATTTTTTGTCGAAGCTCATACTTTTTTAACCTTTTTCCAACCAATTAATTGAAAGAGCTAATTCAGGTATGAATTTCTTTTGTCTGTTCCCATCAGGTTCATCACATTACACGTATATGATATTTCTACAGCTGAAGTGAAGCATCCATCACTCTTGAGTTCACTGGACCCTTTGTAGCATTTATTATAAGGATCATTTATAATTTTAAAATCAATCAGTGTAGCTTTCTTACACAAGCATCTTCTACTGGAACCTTGGAATATGTCGAGTGGACCCGTTAGACAGGTCTCGCGTCAAGATATACAACTGGTAAGGATTTTGTTGATGGACTATCATAGATTATCCAATTATGATTGTATTGTTGTTTAAAAGAAGAAGAAAAAACTTAAACCATTTGAAGTGTGCTATAGTTGTGGAATAGCGACAACGGGATATTTTCAAATGCAAACTAAAACAGGAAGAAAACAGTAAAGCACCTAGTTATAATTATAATGCATATTTTCTTTTCCTAAGCGCCTGAGTATAATTCTTTCTTCTGTGAAATTATTGATAGAATTTTTAATGCAAGTATTTGACATATATTTTTATTTACACAAAGTGCAAAATCCAAGTAAATTTTTATTACTTTTCCATATGTTTTTAATTCCTTATAGAAGCTTAACATATAGAAAGTTTGTCTACTGTCCTCATTGCTATTTTTTGATGATTTCTGTTGATTTTTAGGTGCAGAACCTTATCGAGCGATGTCTCCAGCTTTACATGAACCAGAAAGAAGTGGTAGATACTCTACTGGACCAGGCAAAAATAGAGCCTGGTTTCACGGAACTTGGTAAGCAGATATCCTGTAGTATTCTATGACATGGCTTTCTTTCCTTATGTGTTTTGTGTTTTGTAGTTTCTCTCCTTTTTCATGTTCTTAATCTGAATATTTTTCTTCGTGATTCTGGCTGTTGTTTGTTGCTACCCCACTTTCCAGTGTTTATATCATTTTGTGCACCCAACATTACAGGAAGGATAGATTTGCTCCTCCTATGGCCCCTTCGGCATAATTTATTGGGCACCCCACAATAGTTTTTGGGTATTTTCACTATTTGTTTGACTGCTTTTGTACAGTGCTTTTGTACTTCTTGATAGTGGCTTCTGTTGTGAATTGAAAACTTTACCCTCTTGCTTGAGGTGTTTTCTTTTTATTAACCAGTGTGGTGCATTTTGACTTTGGAGTCGTGTATCGGTCATAATGATTCCCACAAAGCGGCTGTAACTTTTAGATTAATCTTTTGTCATCAATAAACACATTTGCATCAATTGGTGATGAGAAACCAAACCTATCGGCCACAGAATCCGAATTCACTCTGCACTGATTTTGAAATTATCTTCATAGATTTGTCCTTCTATTATGAGCTTTTCCCTGCCCCAGTCAATGAATCTAATGTCTTTGCAGTTATGTGTGAAGGATTATGAAATGTTAATCTCCAATGTCAACTTAAAAACATGAACTCTTTATGCCCCCAGTCAATAGTTTAAGGGGAATCTTACAGCCATATTCAGTGTTTCCGTATGCTCAGCTTAACACTAAAATCTTGCTGCATTTCCAGTTTGGCAGAAGCTTGAGGAAGAGAATCGGGAATTCTTCAGGGCTTATTATTTAAGATTGATGGTGAAGCACCAAATAATAGAATATAACAGGTTGCTTGAGCAACAGGTGAGGTTAATGAGTCAGTTGCACTCAAGTGGAGTTGCTTCAATACCCAGTACCAATGGATCTCACATTTCACCAAGTAAGAGTTCTATCTGCTTAGATGTAAATTTTATTATGGCTAAGATATTGGCTTGTTTTTTATCGGTGCAAGTTAATCTTTATAGCGTGTGGGTTTTGATCCATGGAATAATGTCATTATGGTTAGTGCACAGTAAATGGTATGCCTCTTAAAACAAGGGAAAGTTTAGATGGGAAGAAAGAAAGTAGTTATGGGCTAACCATTTTCCACCCTTTGTTTTATCATGAGATCGGAGAGAAATGAAGATAAGTATGATCTCACCCTCAACTTCCTGTAATGTCTGTATAGATACAATTTCTCTTTATTAAGAAAAAAGACTCTTTACTCCATCTAATCACTTGTTTCGTTTCAATTTCTGATTCTTCTTTGTGTCATCCATGCTATAACTAAGGTATAAAAGTGTAATCACTTGTGAAAAGAATAATTGTAATATTTTAAAGTTCATCGGTTACTCTATTTCACATGTTTTGTTTCTTGATGCCATGCATATGATGCATGATGCTTGAACTAGATTTACATTCTTTATGGGTTCTGTGTTTTGCAACAAATTAGGTAGTGTATAACTGTCTATGATTCATTCAAATTGGTCCTCTTTTTACCCTGTTCTTTTTTGGTCTATATCTCCAGTTGTTAACCTCCTACTTTCGAGCAGCACAACTTTCATTTCCTTTTGTGTTAAACTGTGTTCTACTTCATCCAAATTATATTTCATAGTTCTGCTTTGTTAGGGAATGGTCAATTCCCATCAGAATAGCAATTGATGTTACTTTTGTTCACAGTGCACCAAAACTCCACATGCTATGCGCCAGAGCATGTAGGACCAGCATTGAAGACAGAAAATATACACCACCAAGTTGGTTCCTGCGTACCTAATGCATTTACGAATGGTGGTTCTTCATTGCACACTAGTATGCACAATGCTGTTAAAATGTCTGCTCATACCAGTAGGATTGATGTCCCACCAAACATGCTTTCGAATCAGAGCTCCAACATAGGTGTTATGCAAGGAATAAATGGGGGAATTATCAAATCAGAAGTTGGATATTCAGGCAGTTCTTACATGTTTAGCACTGATGGAAACATCCTGGAAGCACGGCCCTCTATTGGAGATGCTTCTGTTGCAGCATTCAACAGCGTAGAGTCCAACTCACAGCCCCTAAATGAATCACTTCTTGATGCAGACTCTTCATCATTTGGTTTTTTACGTCAGATTCCTCGAATTTTCAGCCTCTCGGACCTGACAGCTGACTTTTCTCAGAGCTCAGGTGCTCTCTCTCTCTCGCTTTCTCTGAACAGTAAACATGACAAGTCATGGAAGTCATGTTTCTTAATTAATAATTTCTGTTCTACATGTTTTTAGACATACTGGAGAGCTATCCTAGATCACCCTTCTTGGCAACAGATAATGATAACTTCCTGGATTCTCGTGAAAGAGAACATCAAGGTGAGGACTTGACATATTTGTCATTGTTACAACTTACACTGCAAGGGGGTTACTAACTTTCCCTCACTCTTACAGGAGACAATAACCGGTTGGACACCATTTCAGAAGGCGTAAGCTATGAAGATTTTGGCAGTGAATAGTAATAAAATTTCAAAAGTAAGTTATATCTACTGCTCTTTTAAGGGTTGTTGGCTACCAGATTTCCAACCATGTAGTCTCAATTTAAATGTGATTCAGCTGCTTCAGACTTGAGCTAAGCTGTTTCTGAGTTTTTTCATCATGGCACTGCATTTTCTCAACCTTCCTTGTAGTAACGCATGCTGCAGGAAGGATGTCTTATTCGTTTTCTTTTTTCAAGATCACTGCTTTGATGCAAAAATTTGTGTGGCACCCCCTTTTCAATGTTATATACCTTTATGTTGGTTATTCTTAGACTGGTAGGCCCGTTGGTGTTCCCGCCAGTGGAAATTTTTTTCCTGCCCAAGACGTTTTAACTTCATATCGTATTGTTTACAGTTGGTGCATGAAATTTAGTATTTAACATTGATAAGATCTAATCATTGGATCGCCATTCTGTTGATAAATTTGATGCCCTCAGTTTTACTTCCTGATGATGACCATGACGACAATAGCTCCCACTTTTTACTGACATGTGATTAGGGTAAATGACATGTTATTACGTTCTTCTTTCCCATCTCAGATAAGTCTATAGTCAGATGCGTCTATCACCATCTTGCACTTCCAATATATTGACCCAGCATTTTCTTGTTTTCTTGAAATCACATTTCAAGAAATGCAAATTGTGCCCGAGAATTCAAGCTCAGGTGGCCATTAGGACGGTTGGGGAAAGGGTTTGGTCTTAGGTTCAAGTCATGATGTAATTAACAAAAAGAAATGCAGATTAGGAGAATTTTCTTTCTATGCAGCTCCATACCCAATAACAAAGCTGAGTCTAGTTTTCTTAACGGTTTTTAGATCCAAAATTGTTTTCTTTTTATTATGAAAACTAAGGAGAAAATGCGGGGGGAAAAAAGCAAAAACAAAAAGAACTCTTTTTAGGCCCCATTTTCATGTTTGCAAGAAAATTCTGTACAGAACTTTGAATTGTTTGTGAAATTCTTTCTTCCATATCCTTACTTTCTTCTTGCCTTGTGTTCAGGTAAAATTTCATGCTAGGACAGAGGGGTTTGTACATACCATTTAAGATTTTGGTTGGTTTGTAAAATTCAGTGATGGTAGTGAGAAAGAGAATGACAGTAGAGTGCTTCTTTACAAGTGGACAGCAAGGTTGAATTGCTTGATGAAATCGTTTTTGTGATCATTGATATGCTGCAGGTTTGCTATAGTTGGTTATCTTTGAGGTATATTTATCTTTGAAACAAATGTGGTTTTGATGATGGTGATCTGTGCCCAATCCAAAAAAGAAATTGACAGAGAGGAAACTAATGCTTGTGTGTGTTGATCTTACTATGCTTCAATTAGAATTGTTGACATCTAATAAAGAAATTTAGTTGAAATTGGTTCTGTTTAATTTTATACATAATTTCAGAAGTGGGGATATAAATTGCAGAACAAGGGCCTCATTTTCCATTATGTGTGTGTAAATTGCATGTTTCTTTGTATTAGCTACAAGACCTTAGGGGTTAGAAGCAAATTCAGTTCTCCGAGGAGAAAATTAAGGCCGGTTTTAAGTGCATAGTCCAAATCGGCAATCAGATCATTCACGTCCTCAATTCCCACAGAAATTCAATCCGCCTATCCTATAGACCACACCATTGCTTGGCTTGTAAGCTGTAACACTACCCTCTCCTTTATTTACCAAGCCAAGCAATGGTGTGGTCTACATGATAAGCTGTTTGATGTTCCCTAAAATTAGGCACGCAGAGAACTCCAGTATCATCAATACGACCATGACGCTTTTATTGCAAATACATGGAGGTCCGGGGATGCAGATAGGAGGGAACATAAGGAACTGCTTGATTTGCCTATGCATGTAGAACAAGTAGATGCAACCCTAACAAACCCTAGAAAGGAAATTCACTTTTTAGAAAGGTAATTGCAGCAGTAGTCTCCTACCGTGTACTTAATTTGAGATTGCTCGCTGCTGCTCCATTTCAGCTGTTGCATCCTCTTATGGCGTCACCCCCTTCCTCTAAACTAGCTTAGCAGCAAAAATCACCCTTTCCAACCAGTACATTAATGAAATATAGATTTCCAATTGTGCTCACTGGATTTGGTTATCAACAATATATTTGTTTCCCAAAAAGAAATCTCACTAAATAAATAAATCTCTACACCCAGCCCCTACCCCATTGTGCTCTCATTGGATTTGAGTTACCAATCTCAAAAGATCTTGACAATTTTGACCTTGTTTTCCATGTTTAAACCCGCAATTATTATGCAACAATTCAAATTTCCGAAATTAAAAACACAGCAAATGACGTTGAATATTGAACATAAAGTGAAGAGGAAGGGAAAGGAAATATACCGCTTCTTTTTTAGATAACATAAAAATTTCTGTTCAGCAGGAGCACTAACTCCATTTCGTTGTTCTCAAAAATCATGTTTAAGATTGATTTACCAACATATGTACAGAGCCCACATTTTCAAATTTAAATTAAAATGTATTCTCAACTAATAATTTCTTAGTCAATTAAGTAAACGGAAAAGTCCTTCCTGTGTTCTTTCAAAGCAGATGCATTTATGTCAATTAAGCACTGCCAGTCAGATACCCTCAGGCAACTACAGAGGGCCGGTTTTAAGTGCATAGTCCAAATCGGCAATCAGATCATTCACATCCTCGATTCCCACAGAAATACGAATAAGATCTTCAGATAGACCTCTGGCCTCGCGCACGGCAGATGGTATGCTTGCGTGAGACATGAAGCAGGGTAGGCTTATAAGAGACTTCACACTTCCTGTAAATATAAAAAATCTTAGGTCAGCTTAATAATAGAATTGTTTTGTATGATTTTCGCTTAACAGAGCTGATACTGAAGATTCACCTACTAATAGACCATACATAAAAGTAATAATAGTAACAATAATTAATTCACATCCTCGATTCCCACAGAAATACGAATAAGATCTTCAGATAGACCTCTGGCCTCGCGCACGGCAGATGGTATGCTTGCGTGAGACATGAAGCAGGGTAGGCTTATAAGAGACTTCACACTTCCTGTAAATATAAAAAATCTTAGGTCAGCTTAATTATAGAATTGTTTTGTATGATTTTCGCTCAACAGAGCTGATACTGAAGATTCACCTACTAATAGACCATACATAAAAGTAATAATAGTAACAATAATTTAAAAAAAGCCTAAAAATACATTAAAAAATATATATTAACTGTGGACCATGTCATACAATGTACAGACTGATTCATGAACTGATGAACGCATAACACATGTACTAAATGAGCACACTCTGCTTTCGAAATCAGTTTTAGAGGAAACCTTCTGCCCCTATCTCTCTATTCACAAGACAAAGAAAACACAAATAACCTCTTTTGCCACAGTACTGACTATCTACCACTCAAAAATTTCGGACTAGGGAAAAGCTGAAAATTGAGAAGGAATTACCAAAACTGACAGTTATACTGAAGTATTTGGTAGTCTCGACAATATGCTTTGATAATGCCAGTGAACCTGTCAGAAAACTCAATACAGATCCTGCACCCTTTGCCTGAAACAGGTGTACATAAATATCTAGAAGAACAGATTGTGAATAGCATTATGGATCTACAATTCCATCAAGGTCAATACCTGAGAATAATGTAAGGCACGTCCAGGATGATCAGCAAGCCCTGCATAATTAACTTGTGTCACTCGTGGATGGGAAGCAAGAAACTCAGCAATTTTTTGCGCATTGTCCTGCCAAATGTGCAGACACATCAGAATAGTACAACAGATTACGATCAATCATTTGAGGGAAATCAAATCCTACAAATAGAATGCTTTGAGGCAAACCACACCTGTTGCTTCTCAACACGTAAGGCCATTGTCTTAATTCCTCGTAAACAGATCCAACAGTCAAATGGAGCTAACCCAGAGCCTTCTGCATTTTGTAAGAAATATAGCTGTTTTGCCAAGCTGTTAACAGTGAAAACAAGTAGGAAGTTAAGTATAAATACAAGACGTAAAACCAACGGTAAAGATAGAGCAAGAGGCACACCTATCCCCTTTAACAGCTAAAACACCTGCCATGACATCACTATGTCCAGCAATAAACTTAGTGGCTGAGTGCATAACAATATCTGAAAGAATGGACTAAAATAAATTATTAAGAACTCAAAAGGATGTGTAGTTTGCAAAAGCTTGGAAGTCCTATTTTTACCTGCTCCTAGATCCAGTGGCTGTGACAATACAGGGGACATTATACTGTTATCCACTAACACAATAGCACCATGTGCATGAGCCATCTCTGCTATTTTCTATCAACGGATAGACATGAAACAAATTTGCCTTTAGAAACTAGCGCTTGTTGTGCTCATCATAATTTTGTTTTAAAAAAAAGTAACTAAATAGGAAACTGTACTAAAGTTATTACAAAGATCAAGAAACTTTATGATATCGAGTCAATGACAAAGATCACTAAACATAAAACAGTTAGTAATAGTGTAATCTACTGCTTTATCTATCAGCAACGTAGCCAAGCATCAATGCAAAACTAATATAGAAAAAGAGTTCGCCACTAACTTATTTTATATTACTTTGAATTTGGGTGGTCATGGTGGCCCAAGGGTCTCATTTCAAACTTATATTAAACCCCACATGCTATCTTCCTTTAGTCCTTCTTCAAGCATTAAAGCCACAATTTTACATAACCCATCTGCTATTTCATCCACCCCTGAAATGCTCTAATAAAACAAATTTATCTTTGTTTTTCACAACATATTTAAATAGGTTTTCCAACTACGAAATGTCTAGCTTTACACATCTCTTCTAACCCCTTAGTCATCAGAGAAGTTAAGGCCTCACTGGTTTCTTTTCAGAAAATATTTTTGTATTCTCAAAATCATGCAAAACAAAATACACTTCCAAAAGAGTTTGAGAAAGCTGTTACGAAAACAACTTTCGTAAAACAAGTTGGAGCACAGGAAACCTCAAAATGTTGTTTGTGCTCTTTTCAAAGAAACAAAACAGGTGAAAACTGAAAATTGCTTCCAAAACAGGTTTCCAAAACACAGCCAATAGGCCCTACATCACAGTAGAGGTACAACAGGCCCTACTGAGACTGAATGCAACCATGACATTCGCTAATTATCATTTTGAACTCGTTGATCCTAGCAGCATACTTGAAGGCCAGCAAAATAAAAAATAAATAAAAACGGCTCTTGCCCAAATAATCAGTCCACAAGCCTCAAACATTTAGACTTTAAATCTTTGATGACTATTTTGCTATCCTGCTGAAAGTTGCGAAATTAGAGTCTCCACATCAAGTTATAGTTTGAAGAATTTCAGGATGGACATAATGCTCAACATAGTGACTGCTTCTTTGGTTACTTATGTAACTACAACTAATTTGGGTAATCATATCAATAAATTTGGATCCAAATGCATGGAACCTTGGTTTAAAAACACAATGAAAGTTCCAAGTTTTTATACTTACTTCGGTAGTGGGTCAATGAGCAATAGGTCACAAAGAGTAGTAGGGTCAAAGATTGCCAGAAGAAATTAGAAGGCACCATATAAAATTAAATCTTCAAAAGCTATTTCTCTATCCTGCATGCATGTTTTTAGATTAAATCTCCAACGTCATGTTATAGTTCTAAGAATTTCAATTTCAAGGGATGGACCTAATACTCAAATTAGTAACTACTTGCTTGTCTTGAGTAACTACAAGTAATTTGGGTATGAATTTAAGATCCAAATACACGGAGCCTAATGTAAGAACGCAAAGCAAGTTACAAGTTGTTCTTAATCTACTTCACTAGTGGGGTCAATGAGCAATATGGCACAAAGAGTAGAAGAGTCAAGAGCGTCAGAAGAAATTAGAAGAGACCATACTAAATATTTCACCAAGAATTGCGATGAACTGAAAAGCGATCACTAAAACTACTGGGAATAGAAAAACATTATGAAGTTCAAAGGACTTGATTAAACAGTACACAAATTTTGTAACTCAATCAGAACAAAACTTTCACTATTATCCTAGGAAAAGGATATTTATGCATGCTGACAACATATCAACTTCTAAAACGCTGTTTATAATTTACAGAAACCTTGTTTAGATGCCAAACTATATAGCTTTGCTAGATTTTACAATACAATCTCTGAGAGGACTTCCTAGACTGGCATTAGCAAATGCATGTTCATTCACACCCATCATATCAACAATCAAGCATCAAATATTGGCAGAATAAAACAAAATAATAAAAAAAGTTATGCATTGCTTATGAGCTTGTCCCTGCTAGAATAGTATAATGCTTGTTTAAAGACATCTTACGCGAATATCAGAAATTATTTGTCGAGGATTGGTGGGACTCTCCAGCCACACAAGCTTCGTCCAGGGGCCAATAGCAGATGCAACTTCATCTAAATCACTCGTGTTCACTCGTCTGAGAGATAAATGCATTATAATTTCAGATTTCAGTTAAATTGAATGAAGATGAGAACAGGAGAGAAGCATACTAACTTCACCACAACTCCAGTCTTTGGAATAACTTGTGACAGCAACCGATCTGAACCACCATACAGGTCGTCTCCGGCAACAATCTCCTCACCTAAAACAACATCATCACCAATTTACAATAAAATTCAGACAACTTCCATGAAGAAATGAAATTCATTTGTGTAGTCTTGTACAAAACTAACCAGCTCAGAGCAAGGACTTAACAGCAAACCATAGTCTATCCCATAAGATTAGTATAGAATATACTGCTAAGAATCCATACACTGACACTAATTGCAAGATTAAAATCAGGACTCTCAAATCTGCCTAGCCAGCTCAAAACCAATCGATTGGTCAGAACTTTGGGACAGAGCTTTATTTGAGTTCAGAGTGGACGGATTTCAGGATGATCTTGGGCTAGGCCTATATCATCCTGTACAAGGGCTGCCTCAACCTAACTTATATATGTATTATTTTCCATAATTAACAAATGCACAAATTTAGAGCGGTGGTTAAGTCAATGTTTCTTACTTGCAAGTTGTGAGTTCAAGTCAGTATATATATTTTTCTTTTTTAAGAAACAACCAAAGCTTCTAACCAACTAGGCTGGATCAAGCTTGGGCATAAAACCTTTACCTCTATTAGGCTAACCACACAAAAATGTGTACATAAAGTATAAAGATTTTTTTTTTCCCTTTTTTTTCTTATATATGTTTTTTTTCGTTTTCATGTTGGCACTTAACCTTTTGAGAAACCACTCAAATCCTGAATCCTCTGCATATATACATAAGAAAACCCTTTGCATACTTATCAAGTACCCCTCACTTATCCAGGTTGCATCCAATAGTCAAATTTACTAACAAGTCAACTGGATATGGATTTGGAGTATCTGAAACATGTTGAGGCATATTGGGAGCCTATTGACAAAGTAACGATATCAAATACTACATACTTCATAAATTCCTTCATTATACTTATGTTTATTCACACTCATACTCGAGTATGGTAACTTAACTAATTTATATAATATATAAATGATACTATTATTGAAAAAGTACCTGTCCCTACAAGATGAGCAACAGCAGCCAGAGCGGCCATTCCACTAGTGAAACAAAATGCTCGATCTGCTTTATCAAGCTTTGCCAAAAGACTGAGAATACAGAAAGAAAGAAAAAATTCACAATAAAGACATGTTGCGAAAGAAGAAAAAAAGAGTTTTCAAAGCTACTTCAACGGCATACAACCAAATAAAATCAGACCTTTCCAAGGCATCCCGTGTGGGATTTCCACTTCTGGTATAATCATAAGGACCATTTTCTGTTGCTGAAGGCTGCATAACAAAGTAATGAAGACACCATTAATATGAAACTTGGTCACAGAATGTCACCTGACATGGATAGTGTAAGCGAGAGATTTCTCATACAATCAAGATACCATTGAGCTCAGATACAAGCATATATTTGACAGTCACAATTGCACTCCTCTTACAAATGCAAAGAAGAATAATTAAAAAGGAAAGTATGCCAACATTCACACATATTCACAATCAGTTCCTTGGTTCTGCTTTCTAATACTTGTTTGATAAAGACCTGACCCCTAACAGTGAAAGCTCAGCTTGATGGCTTAAATAAAAGTAAGAGAGTTACAGATTCCACAGTTCCACATAAAAGCCCCACACAACAATCCTACAATATTACATCGTGTCCCTGAGCAGCATTGAACTTTAAATGATTTTAAATTCCTGGCTATCCCTAACAACTACAACAATACGAATAATCATGACTTCATAAAATTTAGCAATGAGTCTCTATCTTCTACTCTGTGCGCTACCTGCTTAAAAGTAGCTGTTTGGTAAAGTGGCGTATTCATTGCATTGTAAGGATCAAACTTGTTCTCGAAATTCATCAGAATTGTTGAAATACTAGGCTCTTTCAGCTCAATTTCTGTGTCCAATTCAACAAATTAGCAAGCATGAACTGTTAAGGATAATTCAACAACAAAAGAACAGCTGCACAAACCATTTAAGCAGTCCGCAACACCATCAACCACAGCTGAAGTGCTCACATCCATCTCTCTGTCAGCTGAACAATTCACTTTGAATTTATTTCCAGACAACAAAAACCTCTTTCCCCTCAGCGTTGTTGACTTTTTTAACCTAAAACTCACGAGGGAATCCCCAAAGCTTGGTACAAAATTCGCAGGCGATAAACCCTACAAAAATCCACCAGTCAGAAATCGATTTCAAACCAATCTTAACCATCCCACTGCATTGTACATGAAAACTGAGAACATAACACAAAAATAATACTGCAAACTTTAAATTACAAAATCTTGCGGTCCTATGCTATTGGATTTCAATTACATATAACAAAGCAGAGCTTCAAAATTATAAAACCTCTCGGTAGTTATACGATGTTCTCAACTATACTAACCCAGGCAGAGTTTCTTTTCCTGCATTTTCTCAGCTTCCAAACAGAAAACATTCAAGTAATATAAGATTTAAAAAGAATGAGATTGGAAAGTCTTACGACGTCGTTGAGATCGGTGGCGAGGGAGCTAAGGAGAGGCCTAAAAGAGAGAGAAGAAGAAGCGGCCATTGTTGTTGAAGAGGCGAAAGCTAGGGTTTTGCTCAGGGCAGTGCTTCTGGTGAGAGGAGCTAGAGTTGGTGGAACTGTTAACAGTTTCCGCCATTGTCAATTGCAACTTTCTATATATATAAGTGCTCTGATTATTACGCGGACTCCATTTGCAATGCGCTCCTTTTTTTCCTCTTTCAGTGACTGTTTCAGTGCACACGTGTGGAACTGGAACTATTATTTTCTTTTTATTTTGGGATTTATTATTTTTAATAGTCTGAACTGAATCGAGGGCAAAATCAAGGGTAAGTTCCTTATTTATTTTTTGTGCCCAAAAGGGCATTCATATCCTCCGGTTTGTACAAAGGAAATGAATTTGTTTGTTTTTTGTTTTTTTTGCCAACAAGAAATGAAATAATTAGAGCATCTACAATGATTGGTGTCATTTCAATTTTATTTCAATAAATTTGACTTTTAACTTGTAATGGTCAAGTTCAGTTCATTTCATATATCAATATTTCATTTCAGGGATCAACAAAATGAACTCTGAAATGAAATTCACTTCAATAAGCTCATTCACCATAATAACTCTACACCTCTCTCTTATTGACACATTGACAACATTACTTTTTACTTTCTAATTTTTCCAGTACATTTAATTAGTATAAACTAGCCGTAATTTTTTTTCCATTACATTTAATTATTGTAAGCTATTAAATTGCACCGCAGCAAATAAAACTGCATTTCAGTTCAATAAATTGAACTATTAAACTGAACTATTGAGCAACTGTTGCGAATGCTCTAGAGTATCTCCAATAGTAGTAACAAATTAAACTCTTCGAATTAAAGTTTGTTGATATATGTGGCAATTTGAAAAGGCTTATTTTCTACTTTAATAATTTATGCCCCAACAAACTATTCAATTCAATTGATGCCATTATGGAAAATAATGAAAAATACGAAAACATGTGAAGATTATCAACAATTGAATATTGTAGGGGCTTTTTCGTTTCGGCAGCTACAGATGGCCCTGAGATGCTGTAAAGAGCCAAATAGGTGGAGTTGCCCCTAGGTCTGAGTTTAAGAATCAAGCCCCAAGAGTGCTTCGAAGGTTGTTGATCGGTTCATAATTGTATATTATTTTGTACCCTTCTAGCTTATGATTTGGTTATGTTATTGAGTTAAACTTGTGCTTTTAATCCATTTTCTGTTTTGATAAGTCCATAATTTCATACACTTGCTTGCCTTCTTTACTTAGTGATTTTGCTTAGTTTCTCTTTATTTTTGAGTCACTTACCTCTGTTTGTGTGTTTTGTAGGTTAAGATAGCAAGAGATCACATTTGATGCAATCCATGCATGTTAAGGGCTGATTGGGATAAGAGCAAGAGCTTAAAGACAAAACCAAAGTTGGGCCACACTTCTTGTCAGTCCAGTTTCGTAAGTCACCTTGCAGGTCTCATTTCAACACTCTGCACAACTCGAATGATGAGACATTCTTCATAGAAGTTGTTCAATTGGGTGTCTAGTATAACATAGCCAAAATTCAGCCCAATTGAACATATGTGGAGTCCTTAGCCCGTCCAACACTGAACCATGCTCACGAGGATTTGCAGCTGCCAGCTCTGTTCGGCTGCCAACTTGCAAGGCCCAAAACGCACACTTCTACTGCTCCGATGGGAATACTTTCTCCATAGAAGTTGTTCCAATGGGTGTCTAGTATAACATATCCAAATTTCAGAGAAAGCATGTGCATGCATGTGAAGCAAAGAGAAAGGAGAGAGAGAAGAATGAGGAATGATGAGAGGCATTTTGCTTCAGCCTTTGAATATGGGAATTGAATTGGCAGATCACTTTGGAGCTGGAGATCAGGTTTTAATTGAAAT